TAGCGGACGAGCTGTCTAAGCGTCATATTGAATGGATCTTCCAACCACCTCGTCGATCGGTGGGACCATCTCTGCGAACTCGCCGGAACTTGCCTTTGACATCGAGTCGACCGATAACTATTATTGTCTGCATGTAGCAAAGGCATATACTGTGGACCACTTACCCATAAAGAAGGCCCGAGTTCCATCACAAGAAAGGTTAGCACAATGAACGCAGGTACGAGATGTTCAGTTGCCTACTTCTGCCTGCGACGAAGTGAGCCTCTTTATAGGTACCAATGTCCCGGAAGCCCACTGGGTGCTTGAACAACGTATTGGAAACCCGCGACAAGTTTATGCCACACTGACCGTCTTGGGCTGGGTGTTATTCGGTCCAACAACCGACACAAACGAAAGCGAAGTCAGTAAACTGCCTAGAGACGATTGATAGTATTGAAAAGGGGAATATTACAATTCATGGAGTCAGAGTTTAAAATAACCAAAGAGCCAGACGAATTGTCCCCATCCATTTTGGACTAGAGAGTGGTAAAAGAGACTGAGATCAATACCAAGATTGTTGATGGACACTACGAGGTACCTTTACCATGGAAAAGAGAACGGAACCATAGTTGAGAAACGACTGAATTTTCTTCATCAAAGACTGTATAAATCGAAGGACCTTCACCAGAACTATACTGATATCATCGAAGCTTCTGAAGCCAAAAGATACATTAGTCGCATCCCAAATATATTGGCCATGGATCACCGATTTATTCCACATCATCCGGTTCTAAATCCTCACAAACCCGGAAAGGTTTGAATCGTGTTTGATTGTGCAACGCAATCAGATGGAATATCTTTGAATGATTGTTTATACTCAGGACCGGATTCAACGAACGATTTGAACGGAGTCCTATTCCGGTTCCGAAGGCATGAGATCNTGAGGAGATATTTTTACAAGTTCACGTCCCTCTGGAAGATAAGAGGCCGCTTAGTTTCTTGTGGTACTCCGAGGGTAAGCTTCACTCGCCACTAGAAGTATACCAACTGAACGTGCATCCTTTCGGCGCTACCTCCTCGCCGTTTTGCGCGACGTTTGCCGTAAGACGAACGCTAGGCGACAATCAGGCGGAATATGATAGGGAAACGCTGCGTGCGGCGGGGGAAGGCTTCGTTGGCGACGCATGTCACCTCCGATGTTTAATTGACTAAGCCTTTGCATCGATTGACATATATAATACTTTCTTTCTCGTCCATTGTACCCCGACGCGAACACATGTACTTTCGTGATTCACACATCAGCGTGACCGGGTGGTTGCACGCATGAATTGATGTACACAAACACACACACTACACCAGAACCCACTCATTGTCACCAGTCTCATTGGTCGTCTCTTCTCTTCCGGTTTCTTCGTTCATTGTCGATCATCAGATCCTTGTGCGTATGTCTCTTCCTATTCATTCTGACCGTTTATCTCGATCGATCTGCACGTGTAGGCAATCGTTGAGTTGAACGCATTGACAGTCATTGAAGGCTCCTTTTGACACAGCAAAACACTGTTTTTCTCTTGGTGTGTTGTTGTAATTTAATTCCCCAATTTGTTCTTAAGACGCACTATCTTTCGATTGTGCCTTGACAGTGCAAGCTCGCACTCACCGAATTGCCTCACGATTCGAGTTTTGTAGCTTTTATTCGTAATCATGTTTGTCATAATAGTACGGCATTTCAAGAGAATCTCGTCTTCTGTTGACCTCGGGATTCGCGCGTCACTCGATCGTTTGGAGGGATTACCAGTGCGCAATCCATATTACAGAATCTTATCAAGAGATTGTATATATATGTATACATATATCACTTGTGTGACGCCCGACTGTGTGCAAAACAAATCTTGGTACAATACTCTTCATCGAAAGGAAAACGTCCAATCATCGTTTTGTGGGCTGAATACTGTCAGGTTGCTCAGACCAAGGCAAGTGAATTATCTTGAAGAGTCCACAACTGGAGGCTTCGGCTAGCCAAAGCCTGACTCGCAAGGCAGTGGAGTGGTGTGAAAATCGCAATCGTTGGGGGTACAATGCCATCTTGAAGTTTGGAGACAACGTTGATAAAACTAATTACTATACGGTTTTCACAAGAAAACCAGTTGCCTTTCTTGCAAATTCGTAGAGTGACTGATTCACACCATTCCTATCCAATCCCCCAAAATACTTAAATGCAGGCGGAAAAAGTGCGCACAGATCAGATGCCTTATTTCTCGGGTTATCTTCAGTTAAGATGGAGTATGAATAGAAACCGGCAGTATTAGCCCAGGTGAAGCAGTAATTGGAAGTTTCATGATTTACATAATGCAGTAGAGGTGAGNNNGAGAGACGATAAAAGGGATGTATTCAATGAGTCAATTAAGTAGGTTCTAATCAATGTGCCTAAGCCCATTGCCCGATAGTAAAACCACGTGAAAATATGAGACTAATAAGGAACTAGCGAAGATAGAAGAGAAAAAACAACATGGGATTTGCTAGTAGCTGATGACGTGCTACTAAAAGTGCTGGTATCTAGCAAATCTACCAGTATAAATCCACGTGTTTCTCTGTGGTGACATTGGTCGGCATCGAGGTGGATCCATTCATTCAAAAAGGTGTATCCAAAGTCAAAGTTTTATCATGGGAATAGCTTACAAGCTGGTGCTTCTTTTGTCCCATAGGATATTTAC